CCACACTTGCCTCCTGCTACAGGAGTGGCTCACGCTGGCTGGGGAGGTGGGTGAGGGAGCCACACTTGCCACCTGCTACAGGAGTGGCTCACGCTGGCTGGGGGGGTGAGGGAGCCACACTTGCCTCCTGCTACAGGAGTGGCTCACGCTGGCTGGGGGGTGGGTGAGGGAGCCACACTTGCCTCCTGCTACAGGAGTGGCTCACGCTGGCTGGGGAGGTGGGTGAGGGAGCCACACTTGCCTCCTGCTACAGGAGTGGCTCACGCTGGCTGGGGGGGTGAGGGAGCCACACTTGCCTCCTGCTACAGGAGTGGCTCACTGGCTGCGGGGGGGGGGTGGGGAGCCACACTTGCCATCTGCTACAGGAGTGGCTCGCGCTGGCGGGGGGGGGGGAGTGAGGGAGCCACACTTGCCTTCTGCTAGAAGGGGCTCACACTGGCAGGAGGGTGAAGCTGCCTTCTGCTACAGGAGTGGCTCACGCTGGCGGGGGGGGGGTGTGGGAGCCACACTTGCCTCCTGCTACAGGAGTGGCTCACGCTGGGGGGGGGGGGAGGGTGAGGGAGCCACACTTGCCATCTGCTACAGGAGTGGCTCGCGCTGGCGGGGGGGGGGTGGAGGGTGAGGGAGCCACACTTGCCTCCTGCTACAGGAGTGGCTCACGCTGGGGGGGGGGGGGGGTGAGGGAGCCACACTTGCCTCCTGCTACAGGAGTGGCTCACGCTGGCTGGGGGGGTGAGGGAGCCACACTTGCCTCCTGCTACAGGAGTGGCTCACGCTGGCTGGGGGGGGGGTGAGGGAGCCACACTTGCCTCCTGCTACAGGAGTGGCTCACGCTGGCTGGGGGGGGTGAGGGAGCCACACTTGCCTCCTGCTACAGGAGTGGCTCACGCTGGCGGGGGGGGTGAGGGAGCCACACTTGCCTCCTGCTACAGGAGTGGCTCACGCTGGCTGGGGGGGTAAGGGAGCCACACTTGCCTCCTGCTACAGGAGTGGCTCACGCTGGCGGGGGGGGTGAGGGAGCCACACTTGCCTCCTGCTACAGGAGTGGCTCACGCTACAGGAGCGGGCTGGGGGGGGGGGTGAGGGAGCCACACTTGCCTCCTGCTACAGGAGTGGCTCACGCTGGCTGGGGGGGGGGGGGTGAGGGAGCCACACTTGCCTCCTGCTACAGGAGTGGCTCACGCTGGGGGGGGGGGTAAGGGAGCCACACTTGCCTCCTGCTACAGGAGTGGCTCACGCTGGCTGGGGGGGTAAGGGAGCCACACTTGCCTCCTGCTACAGGAGTGGCTCACGCTGGCTGGGTAAACAGGAAGGGAGTTCACGACTTTGGTGTAAAAAACGTTTCGCTTGAAAAAATAAAATGGTTCTAAAATTAGTCTTATCTTGTTTTGTGTTCGTTGTTGACAACGCTTCTGTTATCTGTGTTCCTTACTTCCTGTTCTTTACTTTGTGTTCTTTATGCTTGTGTTCTTTACTTTTTGTTCTTTAAGTTGCGTTTTTTAATTTGTGTTGCGATGCAACCCACAACAGTACTCCTGGGTACTTATTTACTGTTAATTTAGGTGAACAAAGGCATCAGGTGTAAGGTCCCCTACCCCTATCTGCTGATTTTCCCCTATCATGCTTCCGACATCAGTTTAATAACTTGCGGGTAACTATTTACTGCCAGGTGAACAGAGTCATCAGGTGTTAGGAAACGTGCCCAAACGTCTTTTATCTGCTGTTGTAATCTATACCTGGGAGCATTCGCTTGTGAGCCGACTAAGAAGCCTACTGTGCTATTTAATATTTCACTACGTCCATGTGCACACTGTTCCGAGGGGCAGAGTAGGCCTTACAGCTTTGTTCAGACTTTGTTAGCTTAGCTTAGGTTCGCTGAGGTTTGGTGAGGTCTAGTGAGGTTTGTTGAGGTTCGCTGAGGTTTGGTGAGGTCTAGTGAGGTTTGTTGAGGTTCGCTGAGGTTTGGTGAGGTCTAGTGAGGTTTGTTGAGGTTCGCTGAGGTTTGGTGAGGTCTAGTGAGGTTTGTTGAGGTTCGTGAGGTCTGGTGAGGTCTAGTGAGGTTTGTTGAGGTTCGCTGAGGTTTGGTGAGGTCTAGTGAGGTTTGTTGAGGTTCGCTGAGGTTTGGTGAGGTCTAGTGAGGTTTGTTGAGGTTCGCTGAGGTTTGGTGACGTCTAGTGAGGTTTGGTGAGGTTTAGTGAGGTCAAGTGAGGTTTGGTGAGGTTTGGTGAGGTCTGGCGAGGTTTGGTGAGGTTTAGTGAGGTCTAGTAAGGTTTGGGGAGGTCTAGTCAGGTTTGGGGAGGTTTGGTGAGGTTTAGTGAGGTCTAGTGAGGTTTGGTGAGGTCTAGTGAGGTTTGGTGAGGTCTAGTGAGGTTTGGTGAGGTTTGTGAGATTTGGTGAGGTCTAGTGAGGTTTGGTGAGATCTAGTGAGGTTTGGTGAGGTCTAGTGAGGTTTAGTGAGGTTTGGTGAGGTCTAGTGAGGTTTGGTGAGGTCAAGTGAGGTTTGGTGAGGTCTAGTGAGGTTTGGTGAGGTCTAGTGAGGTTTGGTGAGGTCTAGTGAGGTTTGGTGAGGTCTAGTGAGGTTTGGTGAGGTCTAGTGAGGTTTGGTGAGGTCTAGTGAGGTTTGGTGAGGTCTAGTGAGGGTTGGTGAGGTTTGGTGAGGTCTAGTGAGGTTTGGTGAGGTCTAGTGAGGTTTGGTGAGGTTTGGTTAGATCTAGTGAGGTTTGGTGAGGTCTAGTGAGGTTTAGTGAGGTTTGGTGAGATCTAGTGAGGAGGTTTGGTGAGGTCAAGTGAGGTTTGGTGAGGTCTAGTGAGGTTTGGTGAGGTCTAGTGAGGTTTGGTGAGGTCTAGTGAGGTTTGGTAAGGTTTGGTAAGGTTTGGTGAGGTTTGGTGAGGTCTAGTGAGGGTTGGTGAGGTTTGGTGAGGTTTGGTGAGGTCTAGTGAGGTTTGGTGAGGTTTGGTGAGGTCTAGTGAAGTTTGGTGAGGTCTAGTGAGGTTTGGTGAGGTTTGGTGAGATCTAGTGAGGTTTGGTGAGGTCTAGTGAGGTTTGGGAGGTTTGATGAGGACTAGTGAGGTTTGGAGAGATCTAGTTAGGTTTGGTGAGGCCTAGTGAGGTTTGGTGACGTCTAGTAAGGTTTGGTGAGGTTTGGTGAGATCTAGTGAGGTTTGGTGAGGTCTAGTGAGGTTTGGGAGGTTTGGTGAGGACTAGTGAGGTTTGGAGAAGTCTAGTTAGGTTTGGTGAGGTTTGGTAAGGTTTGGTGAGGTCTAGTGAGGTTTGGTGAGATCTAGTGAGGTTTGGGGAGGTTTGGTGAGGATTGAAGAGGTCTAGGTAGGTTTGGTGAGGTTTAGTGAGGTTTCTTTGAGGTCTCGGGAGGTTTGGCGAGGTCTATTGAAGTCTAGTGAGGTTTGGTGAGATTTGGTGAGGTTTGATGAGGTTTGCTGAGGTTTGATGAGGTCTAGTGAGGTTTGGTGAGGTTTAGTGAGGTTTGGGGAGGTCTAGTGAGGTTTGGTGAGGTTTGGGGAGGTCTAGTGAGGTTTGGTGAGGTTTGGTGAGGTTTGATGAGGTCTAGTGAGATTTGATGAGGTTTGATGAGGTCTAGTGAGGTTTGGTGAGGTCTAGTGAGGTTTTGTGACGTCTAGTGAGGTTTGGTGAGGTCAAGTGAGGTTTGGTGAGATCTAGTAAGGTAAGCAGTAAATTAGGTACCAGTGAGTTAGTCAGCTGTCGCGGGTTGCTTCCTGGGGGTGGAGGTCTGGTCTAGGCCCGGGCCGCGGGGACACTAAAGCCCCGAAATCATCTCAAGATAACCTCAAGATGGTAAGGTTTGATGAGGTCTAGTGAGGTTTGGTGAGGCATGGTGAGGTTTGGTGAGGATTGGTGAGGTCTAGTGAGGTTTGGTGAGGTCTAGTGAGGTTTGGTGAGGTCTAGTGAGGTCTAGTGAGGTTTGGTGAGGTTTAGTGAGGTCTAGGGAGGTTTGGTGAGGTCTAGTGAGGTCTAGTGAGGTTTAGTTAAGTTAGGTTAGGGGTGGTGTAGTTAGGTGAGGGTTGGTGAGATTTGGTTAGGTTAGGTACTTTTAGATAAGGTTAGGTTTGTTTGGTTTGGTTAGGTTTGGTTAGGTTAGGTTAGGTTAGGTTAGGTTAGGTTAGGTTAGGATTAGGTTAGGTTAGGTTAGGTTAGGTTAGGATAGGTTAGGTTAGGTTAGGTTTGGTTAGGTTAAGTTAGGAAATGCTATGTTAGGTTAGGTTTGGTGATATCTTGTTAGGTTAGATTAGGTTTGGTTTGGTGCGGTTTGGTTATATTAGGTTAGGTTTAGTTAGGTTAGATTAGGTTTAGTCAGGTTCTGTTTGGTGAGGTTAGGTTTGGTGAGGTTTGGTTAGGTTAGGTTAGAATATAATTTTATTAGGTTTAGTCAAGTTAGATTAGATTCGGTTAGGCTTTGTTAAGTTATATTAGGTTAGGTTTTGCTAGGCTAGGTTAGGTTTTGTTAGGTTTGATAAAGTTAGGTTACAATAGGTTAGGTTATGTATCGTGAGGTTAGGTAAGGTTAGATTAGGTTAAGTTTTGTTTGGCTAGATTTTTCAGACAGTTGAAGATGGTACTAGTTAGGTAGAGATAGATGAGGTTTGATCTGCTTTGATACGAGTTTCTTGGGTTGAGATGGGTTGACGAAGGCCAGGTGATAATAGCCCTCCTGAACCCTCAACCTTCGATAAGAAAATATATTACGTCTTGAACTATGAGGCCTAATCTCTATGATAAAGAAATTCCCTTTATCGTAGTGAATATTTGTATTGGAAATCTACAGATCTCTCATGTGCAAATCTACAGCCTCTCATTTATTTATGATGGGCTGTAGATTTTCACATCAGAGCCAGGTTTCAGTAATGTCTTCTCTTGTTACCATTCCTGAAACTTGTAGAGAAAAAAAAAGTTGTAAATTTACCCTATTTTTTCATTTTGGATTTACAGTCGAAAACTGAAATTAGTTTTCGATTGTGGTAAGTGGCAACTGTGATTGCAAGATCTTGCCGACGGAGGGTATATAAGGCGACCAGAGGCGGGTTGCAATTTACTTGCTCCTGAGACGCAGTTGAGTCCACACGTGTTCTGCTTCCACGCGTCAGAGATGAGGTGAGTGTCCAAGCCTTAACACGGATACACAGCAAGTTGTGGTTTCCGCTTCTTGCTCTGTGTACACCGTGAGTATACTTTACTATGTTCAGGACTCAAGTATATTTTATTGGTTAGTCAGTTTTATTGGTTGGCTGTTACGATGGCGTTAATAACAGGCGAAGAGAAGGAACGGTCACCAAACACTGGGACCATCGCTGATCAAACCCCTGATGCTCTAAGTGTTAGGTGATATCTCTCTCCTCCTGCCTTTTTCACGTATCATTAATGAACGCTGCTCTCTGCTCTGTTCCTCGCCCCGCCTCCCCTGGCCAGCAGACACTTGACAGTCTTCCTTGCTGTAAACCTGCAGCCCGAGGCACTCGTCCATAGTGGCCAGTGGCACAGTGAAGTGACCGCAGGCACAGTGGACGAGGCACTGTGCCAGAATCTGAATCCTTTATTCTGTTTTGTAAGGCGAGTGTGGTGGCCTGTTGGGCCATCCGTACGGCTTAACAACACAGTTGGAGATCCTTTGTCTCCACCATTACTGTTGGCGCTCTGCTTTCTCACATCTGGAAGAACATCAGTAAAATTGCGAGAAAATTTATTTCGGACATGTCCTCTGTCCATCACCTTGGTTTCGTTGTGGTGATCCGTTGTGGGTCGCTTACGAACTGGTTCACAGTTGTCACCCGTTATCTCCGGTGTTCATCTTCCTCATGCGTTCCTTACTGGTAAGTCTCATCTTGAATGTCAAGTCTTGGACTTTCGTACTCACCTTTACCTTCCCTATACTGATCTTTCCACCCTTCCTGAACTCCAGTCCTCCTAGCTTGTCCCTCGGTAATTCTACGGTGGCGAGGTTGGCCGGTGTTCATTATAAGATGCTCCGTCATCTCCCTCTGTGCTCCCTGCAGTATATTCTGTACATCTATAACATATTTAGGAGTCGACTACGGTCCCACAGGCAGTTATTCTTCCCATTAGAAAACCTGGTACTCAAGGGACTCCCCTTAAGGAGTCCCATTGTCCCGAGCACTTTTGTATACCAACTCTTTGAGCGCATGATTAATGTGCATTTCTTCTGGTTCCAGGAACATTGTTCCCTCTCTCTCTTCCCAATCTGGCTTTACAAGTATTTTGCAAGCTTGACGGACATTTTAGTGGACATGAAGATGTACCTTTATCGTATGACGCTACCAGGAGACAATTTTTGTTTAGCTCAAATGCATTCCTTTGACCTTCGTGGAAATCTTCGGCTTTTCCTTCAAGGCTTCCTCTCTCGTCGCTCGATTCAAGTGAGGGTTGGTGCTGCTTTCTCCAAGTCTATTCAACAGTACGAAGGTATTCCCCAAGGTAGTGCTCTGAGCACTAAAGTTTTGGTTGCCCTGAATGGTCTTCATTCCCTCCAGTGTTTTCTCAGCCCTTTATGTTGACGATGTCGCTCTCTGCTGTCGTGGTGACGACGCCTCTTTCCTCCAACATTACCTCCAGCTTAAGAACAATAGTGTGTCGTTCTGGGCCACAATCATGGCCTCCAAGTTCACTGTGAATAAGACTTGTACTATGATTTTTACTCGGAAGCGCGTCGTCCCTTGTTCCCCTCCTGTTACTCTGGTAAACCCCATAGTTATAGGGATTCTGCCACACTCTTGGGGTTGATCTTTGACTCCTGTTTACCTTGGTCGCCCCATGTTGTTCCACAGAGTTGAATTCTCTAATACCCTTTTTTGCTTTGTCTAGTCCCATACTTCTTGGGGGCCTGATAGGCACACACTCCTCTCTTTGAGCTCCTCTCTCGTACTGCCTAAAGTCGATTATGGCTATCTTCCCTACTCCTCCGCCTCTCATTCGACTTTTTGTCGTCTTGATGCTCTGGGCCATCGTGAGTTACAGCTGAGCTCTCGTGCCATTCGTTCGACCCCCATCCACAGATTGGATGGTGAAATCTGCATCAAATCCCTATAGTATTATGGTGATCGTTACTGCCTTCGCTGCCTCCTGCAGTCCCCTACTCCCGCTTGTGTCCTACTTTAATTAATCACTGTTTCTAGCAGGGACCCGTTTCCTCCCACCACCTTCCTTCTCCTGCAAGAGCGGCGTGTTTGCAAGATTCTCTCTCATATCACACTGGCAATGCCTCCCCTCACGTTATTTCTACTTTGCCCCCAATGACGATCCCGCATGTGAAATTTTGCAAACATGAAATTTTGGCAAATCCTTTTCATTTTGCTTTATTTTTTCAACATGATAAGTTACTAGGATTATTCTCTGCTATCCGTCTTTAAAAACCTTTTTCCTAAGGATGTTTTCCTCTCACTCACACACCATTGTTGTGCTGACAGATGGGTCTACGTCTACCGAGGGTGTCGGCCACCCCGTTGTGTTTCTCGAGCTATGTGTGGCCTGACCCAAGAGACTGGCATCTTAACTGCGGAACTTTATGCAGTTGTGTTTACTCTCCATCAGCTGCTCTCTGCGTGTCAACGGGCCTTCATCACTGTGGTTGACTCGCAGCGCCTCACCACTCTCTAATCATAATGCTAAAAATATGCATTATGTTGTGGCAAAATCCAATGCAGGGTTTTCCTTAACTTTGGCAGATATAAAGCAGTCAAATTTTGTTGGTTCTCGGAGATTTTGGAGTTACCATGAATGAAATTGCAGGCGCAGCTGCTATGGAGGTCATTCACGGTTGCAACGTTTCCGGGAAAGGAATTCCATTTTCAGATTTCAACTTCGTAATTCATTCTGAAATCTGTAATCCTTGGCTGGGTCGACGGGCTGGCTTTAGAGGCAATGCCGTGGATGGTCTTAAAAGGGACCTTTCCCCTTGACCTTTCACCTGCTACCGTGATAGGCGGTGGAAAACGACTTTAGCAAGGCTGCATTTCGGCCATATCTGCCTAGCTCACGGTAACTCGATGGAACAACATTCTGCTTCATTTTGACCGAACTGTATTGCCTCCCCTTTCACTCGAGCACCTCCTCGTAGAATGTCCCAATTTTCAGGACGATTATATTTCATGTTTTCTTATTGCTCCGCTCATTTGTCTCGGAAAATTTCTTGGTGAATCTATTACTTCTGATAACGCTCAACGTTTGTCGTGTTGTTCTGGTAGTAACATTTTGAGTGCCTCAAGATGGTGCCTCCTGTTGATGATTACTGACTTGTGTCTCTCCCTCCCCCCAGGATGTGGTCGTGGGTGACGGTGGCGGTGGTGGCCGCTCTGGTGGGGACGTCCTCAGGAAAGGTGTTTACCAAGTGCGAACTGGCCAGAGTGCTGACCAACACATACCGCATGTCCCGCACCCTCGTCAAGAACTGTATGTCCCCCGTTACTTTCTCCACCTTTTCTCTCATGAAATATGTTAGTGAAAACTATGACAGAACAAGTCGGGGATGAAGTCGTCATAAATATATGTAGTCGAAGGTTGTATAGAAATCAGAATGCAAAGAACTATTTTCCCTAGATTTTAAATTCAAGTCAGAATTAAACATTAAACATATATATTTAATTGACTGATTTCATTAATTCTCCACAAATACTACACCACCGATTTATACTCTACCACGGTGCCAACCACAACAGTTGTGTGTCTCGCGCAGTACGAGTCCAGCTTCAACACGGCCGCTACTAACAAGAACACCAACGGCAGTAGAGACTATGGCATCTTCCAGATCAACGACAAGTACTGGTGTCAAGGCGGCATTAGAACGACCAATTACTGCAACATCCAGTGTTCAAGTAAGGGAGAGAAAGAATGGTATATATATATATATATATATATATATATATATATATATATATATATATATATATATATATATATATATATATATATATATATATATATATATATATATATATATATATATATATATATATATATATATATATATATATATATATATATATATATATATATTTAATATTTATAGGGGGTACCCTCGACCTCGAAGAAGACGATATGCCGCATCCAGGGGAGCCTTGTCGGGCTCCCGCGGACACCCACATATTGTCTTCTGCTATCACCCTCTATATGTTTTGTATTTTTTCATTTCATTTTATTTTAAACTTCATTACACAAAAATGGTTACAACATTGATTATATGCAAGGTACAAAGCTAGTTGTCACAGGTTGTCAAATATACGAGTTCCTCCAGCTCGTATATTTGAGACTTGCATTTTCCTCATTAGTGACTGATTTGATGAAAATGATCAGGTGATCTCTCTCCTTGGCTGGCGCTGTTGGGGGCTGGATTTAAGTCTCCTGACTTCGAAGCCTTTTAACAGTCTGTCATGGTCAAGTGATTATTATACTGGTTATGTCAGAGTGTTTGATGCACCTGGCCTTTCTAAGGTTCGAATCCTTCACGAAGAAGAGATCATTGGTATATATATATATATATATATATATATATATATATATATATATATATATATATATATATATATATATATATATATATATATATACCTTATATATAGTAGTAGACATCCATCAGTCTATATATATATATATATATATATATATATATATATATATATATATATATATATATATATATATATATATATATATATATATATATATATATATATATATATATATATATATATATATATATATATATATATATATATATATATATATATATATATATATATATATATATATATATATATATATATATATATTAGTATATTTTGGTAGCAGTCTTTCCTGTAGACATATATTATTAAATATGACCGAAAAAGTAAGATTAATAATTCTAACACGAATTTTCTCTATCTTTCTTACGTTTCTTTTCACTGTTGATGGTAATTCAAAGATCAATTCTCCAAAATTCATTTTTATTTCTAGTCTGACGCGACACTTGAGCGCGTTTCGTAAAACTTATTACATTTTCAAAGACTTTAGTTTACAAACACACAACTGAAACTGAATAGAGCTTACACATCTTCGAGTTTATATCTACATTTGGGTGAGGTGGATGAGGTGAAAACAAACTTTCAACAATGGGTATTGAATGGGTATTAAATTCAAACACAAGACAGAACACGAAACAATGGGTATTGAATGGGTATTAAATTCAAACACAAGACAGAACACGAAACAATGGGTATTGAATGGAAGTAATTGTAGAAAGCCTATTGGTCCATATTTCTTGATGCTTCTATATTGGAGCGGAGTCTTGAAGTGGGTAGAATATAGTTGTGCATTAATTGGCTGTTGATTGCTGGTGTTGACTTCTTGATGTGTAGTGCCTCGCAGACGTCAAGCCGCCTGCTATCGCTGTATCTATCGATGATTTCTGTGTTGTTTGCTAAGATTTCTCTGGTGATGGTTTGTTTGTGGGAAGAGATTATATGTTCCTTAATGGAGCCCTGTTGCTTATGCATCGTTAAACGCCTGGAAAGAGATGTTGTTGTCTTGCCTATATACTGTTTTTTTTTGAGGCTTACAGTCCCCAAGAGGGCATTTGAAGGCATAGACGACGTTGGTCTCTTTTAAAGCGTTCTGCTTTGTGTCTGGAGAGTTTCTCATGAGTAGGCTGGCCGTTTTTCTGGTTTTATAGTAAATCGTCAGTTGTATCTTCTGATTTTTGTCTGTAGGGATAACGTTTCTACTGACAATATCTTTCAGGACCCTTTCCTCCGTTTTATGGGCTGTGGAAAAGAAGTTCCTGTAAAATAGTCTAATAGGGGGTATAGGTGTTGTGTTAGTTGTCTCTTCAGAGGTTGCATGGCGTTTCACTTTCCTTCTTATGATGTCTTCCACGAAACCATTGGAGAAGCCGTTGTTGACTAGGACCTGCCTTACCCTACAGAGTTCTTCGTCGACTTGCTTCCATTCTGAGCTGTGGCTGAGGGCACGGTCGACATAAGCGTTAACAACACTCCTCTTGTACCTGTCCGGGCAGTCACTGTTGGCATTCAGGCACATTCCTATGTTTGTTTCCTTAGTGTAGACTGCAGTGTGGAAAACTCCGCTCCTTTCCATGACTGTTACATCTAGAAAGGGCAGCTTCCCATCCTTCTCCATCTCGTAAGTGAAACGCAACACAGAATTCTGCTCAAATGCCTCCTTCAGCTCCTGCAGATGTCTGACATCAGGTACCTGTGTAAAAATGTCGTCAACATACCTGCAGTATATGGCCGGTTTCAAGTTCATGTCGACTAAGACTTTTTGCTCGATGGTACCCATGTAGAAGTTTGCAAACAGGACACCTAGGGGAGAACCCATGGCGACCCCATCTACTTGCTTATACATGTGTCCATCCGGGCTCAAGAAGGGTGCCTCTTTAGTACAAGCTTGGAGTAGTTTCCTTAGACTGTTTTCTGGTATGTCAAGAGGAGTACAGGCCGGATCACGGTACACTCTGTCGGCTATCATCCCGATTGTTTCATCCACAGGTACGTTGGTAAACAGAGATTCTACGTCCAACGAGGCTCTTATCCCTGTGGCCCGTGTTCCCCGCAGCAAGTCAACAAATTCCTTTGGAGACTTCAGGCTGAAGGCGCAAGGGACATAAGGAGTCAGCAAGCCGTTGAGTCGTTTCGCCAGTCTGTACGTGGGTGTGGGTATCTGGCTGATGATTGGCCGAAGTGGGTTTCCAGGCTTGTGTGTCTTGACATTTCCATACGCATATCCAGGTTTATATTCCCCAATAATCTTTGGCAGGTGGAGTCCAGATTTCTTGGCGTTCACAGTTTCGATCAATTTGTTGACCTTTGCTTTCAGTTCGGCTGTAGTGTCCTTCGTTACCCTTTGGAATTTAGTTTGGTCAGAGAGTATGAGGTTCATTTTCGCCAGATATTCGTCTTTTTTAAGAATGACGTATATTGGCGACTTGTCGCCTCTCCTGACAACTATCTCCTTTTTCTCCCGAAGGCTCTTAGCTGCCGCTTTGAGCTCGGGGGATAGTATGGTGCTTCTGTAGTTGCCTCGATTCTTTCCTCCTTCCGCAATAAGTTCTGCTTGTAAGGTATCTTTGGTGGTGACCTTCTTTTGTGCTTCGAGGTCGAATATGTCGTCCAACAGAATCTCCAACTCCACTTTCCGGGCCATCTCACTCGGTCTGGACATAACGTTACAGTTTATACCCAGATTTAGGAGAGTAACTTGGTCCTCAGTGAGGTTGATTCCTGCAAGGTTCAGGAAATAGGTCCTCCATATAACGTTGTTAGTTTCAGGTACCTTGAATCTGCAGGAGCTGGAGGGCATTTGAGCAGAATTCTGTGTTGCGTTTCACTTACTAGATGGAGAAGGATGGGAAGCTGCCCTTTCTAGATGTAACAGTCATGGAAAGGAGCGGAGTTTTCCACACTGCAGTCTACACTAAGGAAACAAACATAGGAATGTGCCTGAATGCCAACAGTGACTGCCCGGACAGGTAAAAGAGGAGTGTTGTTAACGCTTATGTCGACCGTGCCCTCAGCCACAGCTCAGAATGGAAGCAAGTCGACGAAGAACTCTGTAGGGTAAGGCAGGTCCTAGTCAACAACGGCTTCTCCAATGGTTTCGTGGAAGACATCATAAGAAGGAAAGTGAAACGCCATGCAACCTCTGAAGAGACAACTAACACAACACCTATACCCCCTATTAGACTATTTTACAGGAACTTCTTTTCCACAGCCCATAAAACGGAGGAAAGGGTCCTGAAAGATATTGTCAGTAGAAACGTTATCCCTACAGACAAAAATCAGAAGATACAACTGACGATTTACTATAAAACCAGAAAAACGGCCAGCCTACTCATGAGAAACTCTCCAGACACAAAGCAGAACGCTTTAAAAGAGACCAACGTCGTCTATGCCTTCAAATGCCCTCTTGGGGACTGTAAGCCTCAAAAAAACCCAGTATATAGGCAAGACAACAACATCTCTTTCCAGGCGTTTAACGATGCATAAGCAACAGGGCTCCATTAAGGAACATATAATCTCTTCCCACAAACAAACCATCACCAGAGAAATCTTAGCAAACAACACAGAAATCATCGATAGATACAGCGATAGCAGGCGGCTTGACGTCTGCGAGGCACTACACATCAAGAAGTCAACACCAGCAATCAACAGCCAATTAATGCACAACTATATTCTACCCACTTCAAGACTCCGCTCCAATATAGAAGCATCAAGAAATATGGACCAATAGGCTTTCTACAATTACTTCCATTCAATACCCATTGTTTCGTGTTCTGTCTTGTGTTTGAATTTAATACCCATTCAATACCCTGGAATTAATTGAATACCCATTGTTGAAACGTTTTTCACCCCATCCACCTCACCCAAATGTAGATATAAACTCGAAGATGTGTAAGCTCTATTCAGTTTCAGTTGTGTGTTTGTAAACTAAAGTCTTTGAAAATGTAATAAGTTTTACGAAACGCGCTCAAGTGTCGCGTCAGACTAGAAATAAAAATGAATTTTGGAGAATTGATCTTTGAATTACCATCAACAGTGAAAAGAAATGTACGAAAGATAGAGAAAATTCGTGTTAGAATTATTAATCTTACTTTTTCGGTCATATTTAATAATATATATATATATATATATATATATATATATATATATATATATATATATATATATATATATATATATATATATATATATATATATATATTATATATATATAAGCCTGGTGAGTAGACTATAGCGGATGGATAGATAAAAATATTTGACTCTGAATTATACATATACACTAGCTGTATATATGTATACCCCTGTCTCCCAGTCCTCCCCACCACTCCTCACCTCAGTCGTCCCTTTGTCCTCCCAACCATCCCCCACTCCTCAGTCCCCTCATCCTCCCTACCATTTCCCTCTTCCCCATCCCCTCGTTCACCTCTCCATCCCTCACTCCGGTGTTCCCTTGTCCTCCCCACCATTCTCCATTCCCCTGTCCCTCGTCCCCACCATCCCTAACTCCCCCATCCCCTCCACCTCCCCACCATTACCCCCCTGCCCTGCCCCCATCGTCCTCCCCACCATCCCTCACTCCCGTCCCCTCGTCCTCCCCACCATCCCTCACTCCCGTCCCCTCGTCCTCCCCACCATCCCTCACTCCCGTCCCCTCGTCCTCCCCACCATCCCTCACTCCCGTCCCCTCGTTCTCCCCACCATCCCTCACACCCGTCCCCTCGTCCTCCCCACCATCCCTCACTCCCGTCCCCTCGTCCTCCCAACCATCCCTCACTCCCGTCCCCTCGTCCTCCCCACCATCCCCCACTCCCTCGACTGATGCATTCCCAAATGATCTTATGTTCCAAACACTGAAATATAAGAAAAATATAAAAAAAAACGAAATGAAAAACAATGAAAAAAAACTATACTCATGAAATAAACGGGATGGTAAACAACACAACTCAATTCCAGTGCAATATCAAACAAAATAATTAAATCAAAATGAGAATAAATCGAAATTAATGAAAATTCAATTTATCAATGAAATGGAAAACGTTGAAATGGAATCGTAACATATTTAGTATTGCGTGTGCTCCTATTACGTGCAACAGATGGAGCTGTTTTAAAAAAAAAACATGTTTTTACCTGTCAAAGGTGTAGTATCTATGTAGTAGGTATATAAAAACACACACCTATTCGAATGGAATGTTGTGTCAAATTAAAAAGATATTGGTGAAGAACTTTCGGAGATTACAGCATGTGTTGCTCTTGCATCCAACAGATGGCGTTGTTTTTCATCATTGCATATTTTTTCCTGTCACAGGTGTGGCATCTCTACTTATACTCACGAAATCAATGCTCCGCACCACAGCTCAATTCGAATGCAATGTCACACAAAATAATTAAGTCAAATAAAAATAAATCGAAATCTATGAAAATTCAATTAATCAATGCAATCGGAAACATTGAAATGGAATCGTAACATATTTAGTGGAGCGTGTGTTCCTATTACGTGCAAAGGATGGCGCTGTTTTTCAAAAAAGCATGTTTTTACCTGTCAAAGATGTGTCATCTATATAGTAGGTATATAAAAACATGTGCCTATTTGAATGGAACGTTGTGTCAAAACTTCAAAGAAATTGGTGAAGAACTTTCAGAGATTACAGCGTGTGTTGCTCTTACGTCCAACAGATGGCGCTGTTTTTCAAGAAAAACATTTTTTCCTATCACAGGTGAGGCATGTATATAATAGGTATATAAAAACACGCACCTATTCGAATGCAACGTTGTGTCAAAATTTCAAAGCAATCGGTAAAGAGGTTTCCAAGATTTCCCTCACATGAAAAACACGAGAAAACTCAGTTTTTCAAACAAAGCATGTTTTTCCCCGTCACAGACGGGACATCTATATAGTATGTACAGTATATATAAACCTGCTCGGATACGAATGGAACGTTGTGTGAAAATTTCAAAGCAGTCAATGAAGGACTTTCGGAGATTAGCGATTTTGAACAAACAAACATTTACATTTTTATTTATATACCAGCTGTACCCGGCCACGCGTTGCTGTGGCTGCGTTGCTGAGCCACAGCAACCTTCCCCTGTCCCCTCGTCCTCCCAACCATTCCCCATTCCCCCATCCCCGCGTCCTCCCTACCATCTCCCGCTCCTCCGTCCCCTCGCCCTCCCTACCATTCCCCCCACCCCTGTCCCCTCTTCCTCCCCACAACTCCCTGCTCCCCTGTCCTCTTGTCCTCTCCACCATTCTCCATTTCAACGTCCCTTTGTCCCCACCATCCCCAACACCCCCGTCCCCTCGTCCTCCTCAACATTACTCCCCACCTTTGTCCCCTCGTTCACCCCACCATCCCCCACTACCTTCCCTTGTCCTCCCCTCTCCCTCGTCCAATACATTCCCGAATGATCTGATCTGATCTGATTTTCTGATCATCAGAAAATTGGAAATATCAAATGATCTGAGGGTTCCCATCACTGAAATATAGGAAGAACAGTTAAAAAAAAACGAAATGAAAACATTGACAAAATTAAAAAATAAACTATACTCACGAAATGAATGGTATGGTAACAACACAGCTCAACTCTAATGCAATTTCACACAAAATAATTAAATCAAAATGAAAATAAATCGAAATCTATGAAAATTCATTGTATCAATGAAATCAAAAACATTGAAATGGAATTGTAACATATTTAGTATTGCGAATGTTGCCCTTACATGCAACAGATGGCACTGTTTTAAAAACAAACATATTTTTACCTGTCACAGGTGAGGCATCTATATAGTAGTTATATAAAAACATGCGAGTATTCGAATGAAACGTTGTGCCAAAATTTCAAAGCAATCGGTGAAGAACTTTCGGAGATTACAGGGTGTGTTGCACTTACGTCTAACAGATGGCGCTGTTTTGAAAAAAAAAACATGTTTTTTCCTGTCACAGATGAGGCATGTATATAGTAAGTAAATAAAAACACTCGCCTTTTCGAATGCAACGTTGTGTCAAAATTTAACAGCAATCAGTAAAGAGGTATTGAAGATTTCCTTCACATGAAAGCACATGAAAAACACAGTTAAAAAAAAAAAACATGTTTTGCCTGTCACAGACGTGACAACTATATAGTTTGTATATAAAAACCTGCTCGGATGCGAATGGAACGTTGGGTGAAAATTTCAAAGCAATCGGTGAAGAACTTTCGGAGATTAGCGATTTTGAACAAACGTACATTTCCATTTTTATATATATATACTATATGTATATATATGTTGTACCTAGTAGCCAGAACGTCGTACTCAGCCTACTATGCAAGGCCCGATTTTCCTAATAAGCCAAGTTTTTCTGAATCTATATATTTTTTCTAATTTATTCTTATGAAATGATAAATCTGACTATTTCATTATGTATAAGTTAATTTGTTAAAATTTCATTTAAAACTAACGTAGATATATGACCGAACCTAACCAACCCTACCTAACCTAACCTAACCTATCTAAACCTAACCTAAACTAACACAACTACGTCAATAATTCATGTTCCTACTATAATATAATAATAACTAAAATAAATTAATTGAAAACAATTTATTACAAATACAAAAATCACTCGGCCTATTAAGCAAGTCGGGCTTTGCACAGTAGGCCGAGAAGTGCATTCTGGCTACTAGGTACGATATATATATATATATATATATATATATATACATATATATATATATATATATGTCACAGGTAGCCTAACTTTTTCGGCTACCTAACCTATAAAGATAGGTTAAGTTAGGTTAGGTTAGGTAGGGTTGGTTATATATATATATATATATATATATATATATATATATATATATATATATATATATATATATATATATATATATATATATATATATATATATATATATATATATATATATATGTCGTACCTAGTAGCCAGAATGCACTTCTTGGCCTACTATGCAAGGCCCGATTTGCCTAATAAGCCAAGTTTTCATGAATTAATTGTTTTTCGAATACCTAACCTACCTAACCTAACCTAACCTAACTTTTTCGGCTACCTAACCTAACCTAACCTATAAAGATAGGTTAGGTTAGGTTAGGTAGGGTTGGTTAGGTTCGGTCATATATCTACGTTAATTTTAACTCCAATAAAAAAAAATTGACCTCATACATAATGAAATGGGTAGCTTTGTCATTTGATAAGAAAAAAATTAGAGAAAATATATTAATTCAGGAACACTTGGCTTATTAGGCAAATCGGGCCTTGCATAGTAAGCCAAAAAGTGCGTTCTGGCTACTAGGTACGACATATATATATATATATATATATATATATATATATATATATATATATATATATATATATGTCGTACCTAGTAGCCAGAACGCACTTCTCGGCCTACTATGCAAGGCCCGATTTGCCTAATAAGCCAAGTTTTCCTGAATTATTATATTTTCTCAATTTTTTTTTCTTATGAGATGATAAAGCTACCCATTTCATTATGTATGAGGTCAATTTTTTTTTATTGGAGTTAAAATTAACGTAGATATATGACCGAACCTAACCAACCCTACCTAACCTAACCTAACCTAATTTTATAGATTAGGTTAGGTTTGGTAGCCGGAAAAGTTAGGTTAGGTTAGGTTAGGTAGTCGAAAAACTATTAATTCATGAAAACTTGGCTTATTAGGCAAATTGGGCCTTGCATAGTAGGCTGAGAAGTGCGTTCTGGCTACTAGGTACGACATATATATATATATATATATATATATATATATATATATATATATATATATATATATATATATATATATATATATATATATATATATGATATATAGTGATATGTTATATATATATATATAGTATATATATATATATATATATATATATATATATATATATATATATATATATATATATATATATATATATATATATATATATATATATATATATATATATATATATATATATATATATATATATATATATATATATATATATATATATATATATATATATATATATATATATATATATATATATATATATATATATATATATATATATATATAGAGAGAGAGAGAGACTACACATATTATATATATAATATTATATATTTTATATATATATATATATATATATTATATATAATATTATATATAGATATATATATATATATAGAGAGAGAGAGAGAGAGAGAGAGAGAGAGAGAGAGAGAGAGAGAGAGAGAGAGAGAGAGAGAGAGAGAGAGAGAGAGAGAGAGAGAGAGAGAGAGAGAGAGAGAGAGAGAGAGAGAGAGAGAGAGAGAGAGAGAGAGAGAGAGAGAGAGAGAGAGAGAGTGTGAGTGTGTGTGTGTGTGTGTGTGTGTGTGTGTGTGTCATTTTACCAATCCTTTACAAGAATTCTTCATCTCACCAATCTAATCACCACTTCCTTCATCTCACCAGTCCAGTCACTGCCCCTTAATATCACCAGTCTGACATAAACAGTTCTGGTTCAGATAACGTGTCATTCCTAACGTCAAGTGTCGTTGTCTTCCGTCACAGGTACGCCTGGAGGAGCCACTGCAAGAACATGGATCTGGATAGGTACATATCCCAGTGTTTCTAGACTAGGTGTCGCTCTTGGGTATACATATCCGGGTGCTACTTGACCAGGTGTCGCTCTTGGGTATACATATCCGGGTGCTACTTGACCAGGTGTCGCTCTTGGGTATACATATCCGGGTGCTACTTGACCAGGTGTCGCTCTTGGGTATACATATCCGGGTGCTACTTGACCAGGTGTCGCTCTTGGGTATACATATCCGGGTGCTACTTGACCAGGTGTCGCTCTTGGGTATACATATCCGGGTGCTACTTGGCCAGGTGTCGCTCTTGGGTATACATATCCGGGTGCTACTTGACCAGGTGTCGCTCTTGGGTATACATATCCGGGTGCTACTTGACCAGGTGTCTTGGATGACATCACCCCAGAACTGTGTGTGTTACAATGTCCCCCCCCCCCCCCCCCCCCCGTAGACATCACTAAACAAAAACAAGCTAATTGCTTTTAAAAGGAAGAATAAGCTTCTCTCAAGGACATCAATGAATAAAAAGCTTAAAAAGCCCGACAAGTTGTAATAAAAATGGCATTAATTCAAAGTCAATAAAAAGTATTAAAGAAGAGCGTTTCATTTAAATCATCTGAAAATTTGCAATATTCTAAAAGTTTCAAAAATTTTAATGTTTCCAATGTTGATTATTTTATTGTGCTGTTAAAATGCAGTCTAATCTACAACATTTATTTCAACGGGTTTGTCTCTATAGTATAGTTTGGTATAAAATAATTTTACAGTTCCCTTTCAATTTTATGCGCCAAATTCAAGACTAGATCAAATTTAACTCCAAAAGTTTTGACTTCATTCAAATGAGTTGCAATAATTGTTGTAGAACAAACTGCACATAATATGTAAAAATAACAAAAATAAATAATTAATTATAAATTTTGAAGGTTCGCGAATTTGAAAATCTTTTTCTTCTGCAAAATAACTTGACTTGAAGTCGACGACAACAATTTACGGTCGTTGTACTGCATGGATGTTTCTGTTAGTGTCAGTCAATATTGCTGGGCATTACTTCTCGAATACGTGAAAGTTGTAGTTCAATGTGTTGAAATGAAGTCAAGAAAACATACCCCCCCCCCCTCCAAAAAAAAAAAATACTGGGATAATTATAATGGGTATGGGAATATATACACTTTATATAAGTGATAAAGCCCTAATCTGGTTCACATTCAGCAAAACTTCCTAATGAGACAAAGAAAATAGAGTTTGAAATCTGTGAAATAATTGGGCAAAAACATTAACTCACAAGTTCTGCCACCTGTGGCTGATGTATGTGTTGCCCTGTGTTGTTCCGCCTTCACATACATACTGAAAAAATAGACATTAAAAATTGGTCATTGGGCAATTTATTTATATGGTATACAATAAAATAGAGCAAAATAACATTCTTACTCATTGTTATTTGTGTGAAATTTGGCCCTCCAAAGTGGCACTCAGCAATCATAAAGGCAGCAGCTGCATGTCCACTCTGTGGACCCTCCTTACTACTGCCCTTCTCTGTGTGTCAGACAGGTGCTTGCATCTTTATCACTACATTATCCATCACTTCCACTCACCAGGAGGTGTTATTGTCATTGTTATCATCACTACCGGTTGATTACGTTTTTATATTTTTAAATTCATATAAAATAAATTTCTTAACATATTGGGATAACTTTTTCACGACTCTGATGCTAAATAACGTAAGATTTATTTAACATATTTACTATATTTCTATATAGTAAACTATATTTACTATATGTATATTTATTTACTACATTTCATATTTTGACGTATATTTTTGAGATCTCGCCCCCTTGAGGTTCTGGAAATTGCTGTTGTTTTGCTTTTGATAAAACAACGTGGATGTCAGGACTTTTGGATGTCAGATCAGCTTTGATGTTGTTTTCAAGGTCCAGCCCTTGTCTGTACTTTGTTGACAAGTTTATAAGCATCGAGACTCTTTGTTCACGAAGGTTGGTTGTTGCAACAGGCAGAGTAGCAATTGTGTAGTCTCCACATGTACCATTTAAACAGCCTATGCACTTTTTGACATCCAACGTGAGGAGAGATCTGACTTATTATGAAATTCCAAGTTGGCTTTACGGTCGGAGGGAAGTTCAAGACGTGCTTCTGATAGTCTGTCAGCCTCGTCACAAGCATCAGCACGCTGACAGTTGAAGGGAATTACAAATCATCTGACAGTGGGTGAATCAAGCTCTGGAAAGTAATCAGAGTACAGCGTTTAGAGTTAAGTCAGGCGCTTTGTAACTGACTCCTTGATGTCACAAAGCATAGTCAGATGCCTTTAACTGACTCCTTGATGTCACAAAGCATAGTCAGATGCCTTTAACTGACTCCTTGATGTCACAAAGCATAGTCAGATGCCTTTAACTGACTCCTTGATGTCACAAAGCATAGTCAGATGCCTTTAACTGACTCCTTGATGTCACAAAGCATAGTCAGATGCCTTTAACTGGATCCTTGGTGCCACAGAGACTGAGGTCGTCACACTCTTCCAAATACTCTGCGAGCTTTAAAAAGGCGTCAATCTTCTATTGTTCCACTTCCTGGTTTTGTTTCAAATGTTGAAATCTTTTCTCCTGTAAAATGACTTTAATGTTCTTCCCTTGCAACTTCCTGTTCAATGAATTCATGCCCAAACTTGTCAGCACATATGTGATGTGCAAGTCAAGTGGAGGAGCTCAACTTGCCTGCAAGGGCATGTTTTTGATCCACTAGAAAGATTTTTACTTCAGTTCTGAGAGCCCACACTTAACTCTGAACATTTCTGCGTGTGAACCACTTTACTTCTGTATGGGAAAGTAGGCCGGAAAATTCAGCTTCTCCATCCTCACATGAATCACGAAACAGCCGCGTATTTAGTGCGTGACCTTTGACACCATTGACAGTCTTGATTACATCGTTCATGACAGCCTCCAGTTCAGGTTCCAACTGCTCCACAAGCAATGTCCGGCTATGGGTCATATACTGGGCAACTTCTATTTTTGGAACCTGCGTTTTGGCCAAACCAAAAAGTTAGCCAAAATGTTAGCTACACTGACCCAGCATGTCTGCAGCTCCATCAACACACACACACCAATACAGTTTACCCAGTTTTAGTCAACACTTTGTGTTTTTAACCACAGATCCGCCTAGTTGAAGACATCAATTCATCGAGCTCTGAACTCATGTGGAGAACGGGAAATATTTCTTCAGTTACATCGGAACCGCTGTAGCGAACACACGGCATCAGCTGCGAATTGCTACTGACAACAATAGTCTCCTCAAGTTGAATAGCAAAATGTTCTGTAAAGCTGGAAAGTCTCTCTTTCACATCTCTTGCAGACAAAGACACTGAGCACAGTCGCTTGGCTTCTTTCTGGCCACACAAGATTTCTGTCATGTACACAACTGCCGGTGTGATCAGTTCTTCCCCAACTGTTCGTGGCTTCTTGCTTCCGGTAAACAACTAAGTCACTTCAGTTCCTGCTCTTGTTACTCAACGTTGCTCAGGAACTCACCTAGTTGTGCTTGCGGGGGTTGAGCTCTGGCTCTTTGGTCCCGCCTCTCAACCGTCAATCAACTGATGTACAGATTCCTGAGCCTACTGGGCTCTATCATATCTACATTTGAAACTGTGTATGGCGTCAGCCTCCACCACATCACTTCCTAGTGCATTCCATTTACTAACTACTCTGACACTAAAAAAGTTCTTTCTAATATCCCTGTGGCTCATTTGGGTACTCAGATTCCACCTGTGTCCCCTTGTGCGTGTGCCACCCGTGTTAAATAATCCATCCATGTCCACCCTGTCAATTCCCCTGAGAATTTTGTAAGTGGTAATTATGTCTCCCCTAACTCTTCTGTCTTCCAGCGACGTGTAGTGCAGTTCACTAGTCTGTCTTCATAAGTCATGACTCTTAGTTCTGGGACTAGCCTAGTGGCATACCTCTGAACTTTTTCCAGCTTCGTCTTGTGCTTGACTAGATACGGGCTCCATGCTGGGGCTGCATACTCCAGGATTGGTCTTACATATGTGGTATACAAGGTTCTGAAGGATTCCTTACACAGGTTTCTGAAAGCAGTTCTGATGTTAGTCAGCCTCGCGTAGGCCGTTGATGTTATTCTTTTGATGTGGGCTTTAGGAGACAGGTTTGGCGTGATATCAACTCCCAGATCTTTCTCTCTGTCCGTTTCGTGAAGGACTTCATCTCCCATTCGGTATCCAGTGACTGGCCTCCTAGTTCCTCCTCCTAGTTTCATTACCTTACATTTACTTGGATTGAACTTTAGCAGCATTTCTCGGACCATTCCTTCAGTTTGTCTAGATCATCTTGTAGCCTCTTACTATCCTTCTCTGTTCTGATCCTCCTCAAAATTTTTCCATCATCAACAAACATCGAGAGGAACGAGTCAATTCCTTCTGGGAGATCATTTACGTATATCAGAAACAGTACAGGTCCGAGGACAGATCCCTGTGGAACTCCACTGGGGACTCCCGCCACTCCGAGACCCCACCCCTCACGGTGACTCGCTGTGTCCTGTTGCTTAGGTACTCTCTTATCTAGTAGAGTACCTTCTCTTTCATTCCTGCCTGCATCTCCAGTTTGTGCACTAGTCTCTTATGTGGTACTGTGTGAAAAGTTTTCTGGCAGTCCAGAAATAAGCAGTCTGCCCAGTCCTCTCTCTCTTGTTTGATTTTTGTTGCCTGGTCATAGAACTCAATCCTGTTAGGCATAATTTGCCATCTTTGAACCAATGCTGATGTTGTGTTACAAAGTTCTTCCGTTCCAGATGTTCCACTAGTTTTTTTCATACAATCTTCTCCATCATCTTGCATGGTATGCAGGTTAGGAACACTGGCCTGTAGTTCAGTGCCTCCTGCCTATCACCCTTCTTGTATATTGGGACTACATTAGCCATTTTCCTAATTTTTGGCAGTTCAGCTGATACCAGTGACTTGTTGTACACCATGGAGAGTGGTAGGCACAGAGCTTCTGCTCCTTCCTTTAGAATCCATGGTGAGATTCCATCCGGACCTATAGCCTTTTTCACGTCCAAATCTAGCAGATGCTTCCTCACCTCCCCACTGGTAATCACAAACTCCTCTAGTGGTGTCTGGTTTGATATTCCCTCCCTTATCTCTGGGACTTCTCCTTACTCTGAAGTGAAGACTTCCTGGAATTTCTTATTGAGTTCCTCGCACACTTCCTTGTCGTTTGTAGTGAATCTTTCTGCCCCTATCCTCAGTTTCATTACCTGTTCCTTCACTGTTGTTATCCTCCTGATGTGGCTACGCAGCAATTTGGGTTGAGTCTTTCCTCTGCTCGCTATGTCATTTTCATATTGCCTCTCTTATCACCCTGACGTATTCATTCCTGGCGCTCTGGTATCTTTCTCTGCTCTCTAGTGTTCTGTTGTTTCAATAGTTTCTCCACGCCCTTTTACTTAGCTGCTTTGCTAGCTTGCAACTCTGATTAAACCATGGGTTTCTCATCTCCATTTAATTTTTTCCCTTTTGGACTGGGACGAACTTGTCTGCTGCCTCCTTACACTTCTGTGTGATGTAGTCCATCATGTCTTGAACCGTCTTTCCTCTGAGATCTGTTTCCCAAGCTATTTAAGTTAGGAATTTTCTCATCTCCTTATAGTTTCCCTTCCAGAATGCCGGCCTCTTTCTTTCTGGTCCCTTCCTTGAGTACATTAACCCTTCTTCGACCAGATATTCATACAACAGTACACTGTGATCACTCATACCCACGGGGGCTTCAAGGCCGAATTCCCTTATGTCTGAATCGTTCAGAGTGAATACTAGGTCGAGTCTTGCTGGTTCATCATTGCCTCTCATTCTCGTGGGACCCTTGATATGCTGACTTTTAAAGTTTCTAGTCGTCACCTCCAGCAGTTTTGCTCTCCATGTTTCCTAACCTCCATGTGGTTCTCTGTTTTCCCAGTCTATCCTTACATGATTAAAGTCTCCCATGATGAGCAGATGGGATCGATTTCTACAGACAACAGCGGCTGCTCTCTTAATGATAATGTTAACTGCCAAGTTGTTTTTGTCTTACTCTTGCCTGGGTGTTCTTTCATTTGGTGGAGGGTTATATATCACTGCCACTACTACTCTTGGTCCTCCCATCGTCATGGTGCCTGTTATGAAGTCTCTGAACCCGTCGCAGCCCGGAATAACCATCTCCTCAAAACTCCATTCCTTTCTCATCAGTAGAGCCACTCCCCTTCCTTCCCTTTCCGTATTACAGGGTGTACCTCTCTGCCTCTGCTCTGCCAGCCTCTGCTTCTTGATAGCTCTTTCAAAATTATTAAAGTATTGCAGCAATTTAGAAGAACGATATGTTTAAATTTTTCAAGTGTTCCTGTAGTTTATTCTTGGTGAAAGACTCTGGTCCCCGCTTTCACACACACACGAAACATTGTTCTTCATTTGTTCTTCAACTTCTGTCAATCCATATATGAGGAATTCTGCCTTGCTTGCTTGATGCCATCTCAAGAGTAAAAATGGAAATGATTAAAAACAGGGAAATTTAATAAAAAAAAATGATACTTTGTACTAATATCCCGAGAAGTTATAATTAGTTAAGTCCTGAACTCCTTATCAACAATGTAATTTGATAGGAGGTGTCCAGTGTGACACTGTCACACTGGACAATGAGACACACATTAGCCATACTATGCAAGGACAGTGTTGCCATAATGAGAACTGAACTGACCATTTGATCAGAGGACCTGCTCCAGTCCCAACACTCAGGGACTCACTCCCTTATATGGCATCAAAGAAAATATTAGTTTTGATGTAGATTCAGTAATTATAAATAAACAACAGTTTATTTATCTAGCCAGGAATGAATACGTCAGGGTAAGAAGAGAGGCAGAAGGGCAATATGAAAACGACATAGCAAGTAAGGCTATGACTCAACCCATATTGCTACACAGCCACATCAGGAGAAAGACAACAGTGAGGGAACAGGTAATGAAACTGAGGATAGGGCCTGACATATTCACTGCAAACGACAAAGAAGTGTGCGAGGAACTCAATAGGAAATTCCAGGAAGTTTTGGAGAATTTGGAGCAAGGAGAAGTTCCAGAGATAAGGGAAGGAATAGTTAACCAGGTACCACTAGAAGAATTTGAGATTAATAGTAAGGATGTAAGGAAGCTTTTGCTAGAGTTCGATGTGACAAAGGCTATAGGCCCGGATGGAATATCACCTTGGATACTAAAGGAAGGAGCAGAAGCACTGTGCCTGTCACTCTCCATGGTGTATAACAAATCACTGGTAACAGGGGAACTCCCAAAAATTTGGAAGACAGTAAACGTAGTCCCGATATATAAGAAGGGGGATAGACAGGAGGCACTGAACTACAGGCCAGTGTCCCTAACTTGCATACCATGCAAGTTAATGGAGAAAATTGTGCGAAAAAAGCTAGTGGAACATCTGGAGCGAAGGAACTTTGTGTCACAACACCAACATGGTTTCAGGGATGGCAAGTCATGCCTCACAGGATTAATTGAATTCTACGATCAGGCAACAAGAATCAGGGAAGAAAGAAAGGGGCGGGCAGACTGCATATTTTTGGATATGCCAGAAAGCCTTTGACACAGTTCCACACCAGAGACTAGTGCGAAAGCTACAGAAGCAGGAAGGAGTGAAAGGGAAGGTACTCCATTGGATAAGGGGAGTACCTTAGTAACAGAAGACAGCGAGTCACTGTGAGGGGAGAGGTCTCAGATTGGCGAGACGTTACCAGTGGAGTCCCGCAGGGTATATGTAAATGATCTTCCAGATGGTATAGAATCATTCCTCTCTTTGTTTGCTGATGCAAAAATTATGAGGAGAATTAAGACGGAGGAAGATAGTATGAGGCTACAAGATGACCTAGACAGACTTAATGAATGGTCCAACATATGGCTATTAAGGTTCAACCCTATGATGAAACTAGGCAATGGAAACAGGAGGCCAGACACAGGATACCGAATGGGGGATGAAGTCCTTCATGAAACAGACAGAGAGAAAGATCTGGGAGTTGATATCACACCAAACCTGTCTCCGGAAGTCTATATCAAAAGATTAACGTCTGCAGCGTATGCGAGGCTGGCTAACATCAGAACTGCCTTCAGGAACCTGTGTAAAAAATCATTCAGAATCTTGTACACCACATATGTAAGACCAATCCTGGAGTATGCGACCCCAGCATGGAGCCCGTACCTTGTCAAGCACAAGGCGAAGCTAGAAAAAGTTCAGAGGTATGCCACTAAGCTAGTCCCAGAACTAAGAGGCATGAGTTAAGAGGAAAGGCTTCGGGAAATGCACCTCACGACACTGGAAGACAGAAGAGTAAGGGGAGACATGATCACAACCTACAAAACTCTCAGAGGACTTGACAG